ATATATATTAAACATGTAAAAATTGTATTTATTTTATCTAAAAGTGACATTTTATAAATTATAAAAGTTGAAACAAACGATACCTTGCTTCCATATCGTTGGCTATCCTTTCAAACACATCTTTTCGCAAACGAAATCTTCTTTTGAAATCGTTTGGCTGGTAAACACAATTTTCCGCAAAGTAATCGTTAACTAGCCGTTTATGCCCTTCCTCACGATCTCTATTTAACGTCGCACATCGCGTGAGTAGTGGAGCTGGATCTGGCTGTAGTAGGCTGTCTGTATAATACCGGTACATCATACTCACGAACAAATCGTCTTCGTCATTATCATCGTTGGACGGATGGGCCGGATCAAATTGATCCATATTTTGGTTTTGAAATATTGAAAGAAATATGTAGAGAAGTATGTGTTTTGTAGGTAAAAATAATATAGGTTATATGATAGTATATATAAAACTTGATTTTTTTATGTTACCGTTTGAAACAAACGGTCGAAATTATGGCCGTTGAATAAAAACACAAGCAAAATCGTGACGTTCCCTCCCGTGTTCACCATAACGCCTCATAATATAACAACTAATAACTGCTAGGGGGGGTTTTCCTCCCATTATGGCGCTGTTATTAGATGTCATGTCACTTATAACGGGGCTTCCCGTTGCCCACACCCGTCTCTCTTAATCAAATGGGTGTTATCTAATACAAATTTAGAGCTTTGGTCTCTATATTTGGCTTTTATTCCATAATCAACCCCCATTTTCCTTTTCTTTCATTATACAATCCTCCGGTTAGTGTATCTTAACCCCCTCCACTTTCATAGGTTCATAATTGACTCCTTGTATTAATTTATCTTACGTTTTGGTTTTCTTTTACGACATTTAAATTCATTTAGTCAGCCTAAATGTTATGTAATCCCATTTTTAAGTAGCTTTAAACATTAGTTAATTCTTTAATTTAAATTAATTCATCTTTTTTTACCCTAATTTGCTTATTTTATTTTATCTAATTCAAGATAAATACCAATATTAATTAAATTAAATCCTATAAAATCCTAATTAATCTTCTTTTTGTTCATATTATTATATAATAAGTATATAATTTGACACGAAAAATGCATACAACTTAATCCTATATAATAGAAGACTAACATCGTTAGCAAAAAGATTTTTAGGTCGATACAATTATCCCCTCCTTAAAATGATTCATTCCTCGGAATCTCTAGAGCATTGTGTCATTTTGTTCTTAAGTAGTCTCATCAAGTTATACTCCCAAAACGAATCAATGTCATAGGAAAAGTGTGTTCACCCAAAAGAGATAACACAAATATCAAACATTTCCCGTGTTACGACCGGTTCAAACACAGATACCATAATGTCTAACTGTAGAACTCATAGAGTTTGTTGTATACTACATATGAGCACATAAATGAAATGATACCAAATATGTACCAGTACTAGCATCAAATAACATAAGATCACAGATAATACATAAGGTACAAATACTAATGAGTTCGTTCAAAGACCCTCAATCTCTTTGGTCTGAATCATAATTAAAAGAGTATTTGAGTAATTTTACCAAGGTACAAATACTAAGGAATGAATTCCATCTTGAAATCCCATGGAATTCAATTATGTATTCATTTGTAACCAAATGCAGGGTCGGAATTCGATTTTTTAGGCCGTTTAGACTTTAGACCAAGCATTGGTTAGAATTCTATTTTTAGAACATTCAATCACATTTGTTTTTTGTGAATGGAATGTGAAAATAGTTGGTTGGTGTTTTAGGTGATCTGGAATTTATGGATAGACCGGAAGTGAAACTGGGGATAGATTATGCTTTTCTTGAAGGTGCTTATGCATTTTCGAGGTTTGTAGTTGCAGACAACCTTTGTATAAGTGCTCCTAAGAACACTCTCAGGCTAGCTTCATGTTCTACAAAACTCTTAAGATATCAAAATTTAAGGTTATCTTTTTTGGGAAAATGACACAAATGCCCTACGGACTTTCTAGGGTTTATCTTTTTAGTCTCTAAACAATTTTTGTGGCCTTATGAGGGAACACAGTTGTGTTTGTCGGGTCGATTACATCCTTTTGGCCAAAGTGAAGGGGTCACCCGGTTACATCTTTGACACATTGACATTTGTTGACCAATTTTCTTATATTGACTTTGAATTTTCCCTACTCTTGGACTGATCTCTCTCTCTCTCTCTTTCTCTCTCTCTCTCTATTTTGGACTTTATGAAAGTCAACTTTTCCCTCCCTCCCACTGAATTACTGCTAAGGAACGAATGGGGAACAAGAGCATTCAAGGATTGTCACCCTCGACCACCCACTGCCACCGGGAACGACCAAGAGTCGCCGCCAGCACCCACCATCGTGTTCTCTTGGGCTGCCAACGCAACCCACACCCACCCATTACCACTGTTGTTGCCGGAAACATCTTTCCCGATCTCCCTCTCATCTCCAACTAATCACTCCGTCGAGCAGAAGCCAAAACGAACCGGTAGGAGTCCGTCGGAGCAAAAATTCAAAGGAGTTATATCAAAACATCTTTCTAAGTCTTACCAAACCAGGACTCATTTTCGCAAGGCAAGCTGGAGACAAACCTTTAGTAGATCCCTAAACAAACAAATCAAATTCAATAATCAAAAATTTTGATGCCATTTTTGTGCCTGAAATTGAGAGTGGAAAAAAGGGGATTTCAATTTTGAATGTACATGTGTTCTAACGACGTGTAGAAGCCTTCGATGTGACTTTGCTCTATAATCCTCTTCCTGTTAATGAATCAAAAACGTGAAATCAATACATCAAAAACGAAGGGGAAACATGAAGTAAACCTTGTAAATGGAAGCGGAAGCTTACGCATTGATGAAAATCCGGCATCGGAAAGGCATTTCACTTTAGTCGTCGCCGATAATTGTGATCAGAAATTATCGCACTGCAATATCGAAGTCAATCCACCAGCTGAACACCCCGCTAAAATGGCCTACAACATGATTTATTTTTTTGTTAATTAGTTATAAAGCAGGGGTGATGATGTAGTGTAGTGGTGGTGTTAACGATGAGAATGAAGGTTATATATATATATATATATATATATATATATATATATATATATATATATATATAGAGAGAGAGAGAGAGAGAGAGAGAGAGAGAGAGAGAGAGAGAGAGAGAGAGAGAGAGAGGTGGGCCCCAAGTTTTGTCTATTTGTTCCCTAAACGGCTAAAACAACTAAAGGGGACTAAATGTACAGGTTGCCACAACTTGGTTCCCTCATAAAGCCACGAAAAAACTTAAGTGACTAAAATGGTCAACCTTAAAAAGTTCATGGGCTATATATGTCATTTTCCCTATCCTTTTTTGGGAGGGTTTTCTTAATTTATTTTGTACTTATGATTATTTATTACTTTCTTTACAACTGCTTGGACCTACACTGCGGGTCCCGCCAATGCCACCATTGACAGGTGGCTTTTGGAACCCAACAAATGTGCAAACTTCACCGAAGAAATTACAAAATATTTTCATCTTTAGGAAAAATGTGAGTATGACATAATCATTTCAATGGTGAATTGCTTTAGTTTAGTTTCATGACCACGAAATTCTAGGTGTGGAATTGAAATTTAATCTCATTTAATTCAAAACTGGGTGGGGAACCCCGCTACGTGGGGTGTGGATTTGTTCGTAGTTTTTGTCATCTTTCAGTAGGTCAACAATGCAACTTAACATTAGATAACATTTCATTAATAACTTATTCACTAACAAAAATGACAAATCCAAACCCTTGAGATCGGTTGGTGAAACTAAACTTCATCTACACAAACAAAACAATAAATATCATATGTTTACAGAAGAAATTAGTGTGTGAGATTGGAAAACCCCCAATACGAAACTCAAATTACATCTAACTGGAAAAAGCACAACAAATACAATTCATAAAATTCTGAAATTGAAATTACAATCATCAAAAAGGGTGAACTTCTAGTAACAACCATAATTTGCTTTTTGTTAACAACATTTAAACCGATAAAACCGAGTAACAGGAAAAAAAATTAGAAAGGAAAAATAAAGCCTAAACCTGCACTCAAATAGAACACTGCAACTATGGTGATTGTCATTCATAAGATCGTCAAGGTTCTTCAACTTCTCCTATTCAATGCAAAAACAATTCCAATATTACTCATATTCTGGACTTTAAAAAGATATAAACAAAGTTTATTTATAAAAAAATATAAAATCGTAGAAAATAGTCCGACTCACTCAGAATTTGATGACACCACATCCTTGAAATCATATACACGTTTCGCTTCCGAGTACACATGGAAGGCTCTCTGATAAAACAAATTTACAAAAAAAATGTTAACTATACAGTGGTCCAAAAAATAATTACAAATGAAAGTTTTTTAAAGTAAAAAAAAAAAAAAAAGTAACCGATGGAATACATGAGAAAGTAGGTTGGTATTTTGTGAGGTTACCTGGAATAACTTGTAATGTGTGGCAGCTTTTATCACATCCACTGAAGAGGCAGAGTCAAGAATTATGGAATCCAAGCTTTTACCAGTGATTATCTCAAATTCATTAGATGTATAAGGCTCCTCTTATAGATATTTTTTTATTTTTAACCAAAGATAGCAACCAAGTTATATGTTTTTTGCCATTTAAAGCAAAACGTCGAATATAAATATATTATAGGAGTTAGATGATGACGTGGCGAAACTTGTGCCATGTCATCATTTTTGGTACAACATGCGTTTCATATGAATTTTGAAGAGATCCCAACTGGAAAACAACCTAACACCAAAATGGACTACAATAAAAAACAACTCAAAATCATCTAACTAATGTACCTTAACATAAACAGTATGATACATCAATGTCATGAACATACATTGATATGCATAATGTGGATGGAATAGTATATCACTCAAATAAATAAAAGCATGTTGTTGATTTCGAACATGAATTGTAAGAACCCAAACCTGCAATTAAGTTGATTATATAGTCAAAACTTAGTAAAACTAATAAAACAGCTGAATAAGAAAAAATTGGATTCCGGTTGAAAATGGGACCTAATAAATTGATTGATTTCACCCATTAGTTTCCTCCTATCTTCTCTGTAAAAAAAATTAAAATATAAAAGGAAGGGAATGAAATACCTGTTAGAGTGTGGTTGTGAAGCCAATCACACAATTCCCTACTCAAATGTCATTGTTCTTTATATATAAAACAACTTGCATATTTTCTCATAAAATGGTTTTTTACATTTGGATAAAAACTAACACATAGGTGGTGGTTTCTTACCGTTTCACCTCTGATAGTCTTCTTCTCAACCGACGCAAATGTAGCAAGTCACTTAAAAGGAAAAATAACTTGCCCTCTCCAGTGGTGCATCGGTGTCTGCCCTTCCAACCAGGGAATCGTATATACGTCGAGCACAGAAGGAAGACGTTGAAGGTTGCGGCGGTTGGAATCGGATTAAAACTGCAATGCTCTAATAGAAAATTTATAAAACTAATAGATATAATCCATAATTTGTAAAAACAACAAAATGAAATATGTCAAAAAAGCATAAAGTACATTAAAAATAGCTATTGTTTGTCAAAAAAAAAAGGGGGGGGGGGGGGGGGGGGGGGGGGGGGGGGGGGGGGGCTCCTTTGCAGGGAAAATCAAAATTAGGGTCTGTATTGTAAAAATTTTCAAAAATAGGCACCATTTTGTAAGAAATTTTTAAATTAGCATCTATTTCAAAATATATATCAGATAAAAAAATACCAAATTTAGGCTGATGTAAGTGTGCGAAAACAGAAAAAATGACTTGTAAACACACAAACAATATGTCGAAAGCAGTGTGAATCTATCTAATTTGTATGGCAACTCTTGTGCATATGCAAAAATGGCAAAATGAACCTCATCAGAAATATGTAGTATTTGTTTATATTCTATGTTCTTCCGCCTGTATCATGATTAAAAAATGAGTTTAGTTTAATGGAATGGAATGTACACCGTAATGAATTGGTTACTCCATTCCATTAGAGAAACAAACAATTTTTTGTCATTCCGATGGAATGGATGATTCCATTCTATCATACGAAACACTATAGACGTAAACAATGGAATTACCTCAAATCATATTTACACTTACCCTTCCTTATACCACTAAAACTCTAAAAGTCCCATGGCAGGTCAAACCCTAAAGTCAACCCCATCCCCATAAAAAACCATTTCATCCAAAATGAAGAATCTGCAAAAAAAAAAAAAAAGCAACACATTCTGTTAAGTCTTTGGACACCCTTTTAAAACTGTTTGAGGAAAACATCAATGGCAAAAAAAATACAATGGATTAGTGAAAAAACATACCACTGCTGATTCTTTCTGAATTCTATAGGCACGGGATATATATTCTCAAACGTTTGCTGATAATGCATTTTCTGCTACAATAATGAAAGTACATGTTTTTTTTTGTATTTCCTCAAAAATATAACAATACTACTATCAACGGTCCATTTTGATTAGTATAAATTCGAAGATAGAAGGTAATATGTTTTCAAAAGCATACCTTTAAACCTCTGACTTCAACTTCTCCCTATTTGAGATTTCTATCATCAATCTTTAAGACATGTAAAAGTGTTGGGTGTTAATTTAATAAAAATAAATAAAGCTAAATTGACTGAGGACCTAGTTTTTGATGGAAGTACCTATAAAAGGTGGGTAAGGGTAGTCTTGTCATTTTGACTTTAGCAAGCCATTTTGGCAACGTGAATGAAGCCTTTATTCCTAGCCTTGTAAAGAACAGAGCATATAAAAGACGTAATAGGAGTCTATTCAAAATCTGTATGTTTTTTTTTAAATTGATACTACCATTATAATATTACTTCAATCTAAAATTTAATTAAATTATTATAATATGTTCATTTGTAACTTATTTAAAATAATAAACAATAAAACCTTTTCTTTAATATTTATAAAAATAATAAATAAATAAAAACTTACCATTGAGTTCCATTTCTTTGGTGGTTGCGAATCTGGAGGTCTCAAATATCACCTGCATCAGCACTACATATGATAAGTTTAATTAATCAAAATTATTTAAAAATTAAAATATAAATAAATAAAAACATTTCAAAAAGAAAATCTTACATAAATTGCTTCAAATGTAATAATAAACATATATATTAAAAATCAAAACTGACCGCACGAATGAATTTCATGGACTTGTAGTCATTCCAGTCAAGTGGGTCCTCTGCCATTTTTCCCTCTCTGATTCCCAAATGTTCTTTCTAAAAATAGAAGATATGGCGATTAATTTATAAAAAAGAGTTATTATGATCATAGAAATATTTATGTGCTACTAAAACATTCATAAATATAAATATAGAAAAATGTACCGACATGAGAAAGATCTTTGAGCATACGATCTACAACTGTTGGTGGAGGGATTACTGCATACGGCCTCAATCTTCAGCACCCGATGTTATTTATAACTGTAAAAAGCACCATTACAGAAAAATAAACAGAAAAGCTATCATGAATTAACCTCTAAGGATAGGGCGAATGCGGTCTCACCCTTAAAATATGAAAACTACCACAAATACCATACCCAAACAGTTACTTTTCAAAGTCCAATGCTTAGAAATGAAATATAATGAAAGTAAGATGTTGCAATACAGGTATCAAACACAAAAACAATAGAGGCATCAAACAGAAAAACAACTACAAAAAATTCAATAATTTGAACATGTAGCAATTAAGGAGTAACAAATAATTGCATCTCAATCGAGTTATAAGCAATATTTCAGTAAGGAAGATGCTTACCGAGCTTGTTGATATTTGAATCGTTGTAGTTCTGAGGCCAAGACACACTTCCCACTAACACCATATATAATTAGACCAAAATAGATTCAATCAAATGAAAATCTTATGCATTAAAGATTTTATATAATAGTTAATTTGGTTGAAAATCAACATACCCTAGTTCAAGCATTTCATCAACCAGTTGGGGTGCATAGTCAAACTCTCCTTCAAATCTCATTATAACATCAAGGGCGATGCAGTGTATCGGGTGACGGGTGGTGAGTGGTGATGATGAAATCCTCCTCGGTCGTAACTACCAACCACTCGGTGTTCTTTTCTGTGCTCGCATTCTCCAACTGCAGAAACAATCTCCAATTGCAGAAACAACCGATATGAAAGTAAACCCAAAAAGTGAAGACACGCCAACCAAAAAGCAGCCGACATCAGTTGTTGTAGGCTTCATCACGCATGATGACAGAAAAAAAAAAGCAAACAAATGATCTGGTGTGACAGATTCTGACAAACCTAGATTAAAAATCACATATTTGTAGTCGTCTGGTCCAAAATCAAGCACAAATCGGAGAGAGTGAAGTCGTAAGTTGCAAACACATACCCAAATTAGTAATCAACGGCGGGAACAGACGGAAATCGGTGAAGGAAGAACCAAAAAAGACCTAAACCCATAAATAGGGGTTATTTTCGCCAACCTCTTAAGCCTGTCTTGGACACCATCGATAGTAGCAGAAGAAGATCATTCATGAAGCATCGGCAATTTCAAGTTAGAAGGAAGAACATCGAACGCGAAGAGGGAACTGATTTCGTGAGAATCATCAACAAAGAGAAGTAGAGATATCCGCGTATACACCAGTTTTCCATCGCGTCCTCCTGAGAGAAGGCGTGAAGACACCGACGGACTCATCAACGGAGCATGTAGAGAAGGAGGGTAAAGATGAGAATCGATGTCAGGAGATCGATGGGAACCTTCTGTGACTTCTGAGCACCTGATGATCGGTTGAGAGAAGAGTGAGAAAGGACGGTAGATGAAGTAGAAGAAATCAGGTTAAAAATTAGAACAATCGGGAAGAGATCGGGAACTGGGAGTGGTTTGGAAGATGGGAAAGAGGGATTACACAGATTGGAATTCGTTTGGAGAAAAAAAAGTGGTGAAGCAAAGAGAAGCAACGTATACACAAACAATATGAATATTGACATGACCCTGGAGACAGATCTGAATAGACATACATAAATAGGATAGTAGAAGGGCCGAAATTGACAAAATAGATACAATATGAATATTGACATGACCCTGGAGACAGATCTGAATAGACATACATAAATAGGGTAGTAGAAGGGCCGAAATTGACAAAATAGATAGAAGTTTACTGTATCTAAGCTAGGATAACTTTAATATATATATATATATATATATATATATATATAATATATATATATATATATATATATATATTAAAGTTATCCTAGCTTAGATACAGTAAACTTCTATCTATTTTATATATATAATTTCAATAACTTTCCCCCTGAATCCAACTTCAATTTATTTAGTTAAGAGTTGTTATAAGGATAAGAAGATGTTATCATATGTTAGAACAATTATGTCTAATGCCACTTTGTATTCATCAAAAAATTGAAAATCCTTTCCTTTTTGAATGATTTTTTTCTTCTTGCTGGCGGGATCCGGATAAAAAATCTATTTTTTTAATATAATTGGGATTATCATCCCTTTTGTAGGAATTATAGCGTGAAAGTCAAAAATGCTTACCTTTTAAATTTTATAAGAAGCCAACGAATTAAATTTGAACAAAACTTATATCATTCAAGTTTCAAGACGAAAGGCATTTAGTAAGTTTGCAAAGCTTTTAAATTTGACTCTTTCCGTTCGCCTGGGTGGTAACACGTTTTTTTGTTGTCTTTATTTTCTGACTATCTCTGTTTTGATAAGAACATCTAAACGTTTAGTACAGTTTCTTTCTCAAATACGTGAACTTTATTTTTAGCTTAACATTGTAAGTTACTTTTTCTTCATCGAATTTTATTCTCGTCTTCAACGCAATCAAAGTACCACCTTGAATTTTCTATCTTTTTTTCTGCAGGCTAACGTTCAAATACATTTGACAGAAGAACAAAGATCGGATGACGTGTGATAGACTAATGAAGTGTTTTTTTTTTAATTTCTTGAATATATGATAATGTAATATAATAAATAACATGCGATAGGTTTTTAGGCAAGGCAGAGGCAAAGAAAGAGGGAAAAGAGTGGTTTTCGAACAAAAGGTGAAGATTGTTGAACCCGAAAAATATGCACAATATATAACCTTCCTGGGTGGTATATTGTTATTTTCTTTTCGCTTCTCAAGGCGGCCAATTTTCATGTGTTTATGGAATGATTTAACATATGCAATGCCAAACTTTAACACTTTCATTCAATCACAATAATTTTATCTGTTATGTTTTGGAAAAAAATTGTAATTATAATTTCCTAATATGAAAAATATCAAAAGTAGAATGTTATCATTGGGTTTTTTCAAAGTATATTGTCCTATAAGGAAAAAACTATCATGGGGTTCACCTACTAGTTATGTTTAATCATCAAACAATTAACCCAATTTCTCATCCTCTTTATCTTCTTTATTCTTATAGATCTACCCTAAGAATTATCTATTCTTCATTTATTTATTCCTAAGGATTGTCCTAAGGAATAGGCACGAAGTCCATTCCTGCCAAAGTTTATCCAACATGCACTAAGTTCATAGCTGTCGATGTTATCTATTAGGCACAACTGCCAATGTTATCTATTAGGCACAAAGTCCATAGCTGCGAATGTTCATTTATAAGGCACTAAGTCCATAGCTGCTAGCATTCATCTATAAGGCACTAAATCCATAACTGTCAACGTTCATCTATAGGGCACTAAGTCCATAGTTTCGAATGTTCATTTGTAAGTAACTAAGTCTATAACTGCCAATGTTCATCTATAGGGCACTAAGTCTATAGCTGCCAATGTTAATTTGTAAGGCATTAAGTCCATAGCTGTCAGGGTTTTTAGAGTACATCTGGTGAAAACGTCGTTCACAAACACCTACAGGTTGCGAGCCTGCTAGCGTTCCACCGGACTGTCTAAAATAGTCCGTGGTCGTCATCTATACTCTGTTAGATGACTGGATCAATGTTAAAGTCAAGGCTTCTCATCATCTTTCACCTCTCAACATCTATCTCATTTTTCATTTCTCATCATCCATCTCATCTTTCATCTACCTATCTTTACCCTATATATATATATATATATATATATATATATATAGGTATAAAAATACATATATAGTTTAAATCAAGTAAAACATGTATAAATCGTTCATCTAGCATAGATATCAGGAACACAGATAATAAGCACATATCGCCTGTATTAATATCAAATACTTCATATCTACGTGTAAGATGAAATTAACTATGCACTCACTTGTTAAAGTGACGACTCGAAATTCGGACATCGCTTTGCTTCTAGCAATTGTCTTTTCGTTTGACGTAACCTAGTATCATTATCATGAAGTTTTAGTCTAATATTTATTGAGACTAATTATTAGTCTAGGTTCATCATTAATTCAAAGTCTATTTCAAGATCTATCAAGTATCGGAGGTAGGGTCCGTTTGGTATACGAAGTATACTGTTTGGAAATCCCACTTTAAACACCTCACTAAATCATAGCCTAGAAATCATCCCCGTAAGTAGATCAATCAGTATAACGACTTGGAATCATTGATAACTCTTGTTTATAAGTTCATAATAACGATAGTTGTAGCTCAACTTGTAGGGTTTCTAGTGAAAACTTAGAACTCCGTGGTCAGAACTTCGTCACTGAATCTTTTTTCTAAAAAGATTCTTGTAGCGTTTCAGCGCCCACCTTACTATACTAAAACTACAGAAAGAGAAGTCGAATCATCAGAGACTGAAATGCTCGGAGATAATAAAAGAAAGACTGTTGAATCAAGAGAATGGTGCAAGAAATATGAGAGCCTAGAGGCTCTTATTTATAGTAATTGAATTTTCAAAAACCACCCTCTATAGTTATTTAAACGACTAAACACCCATTTATAATACTATTTTAAATAGATTCAACAATATTTGTACTAAACTAATGTCAAAAGTACTCAACACTAGTCTTGTAACGACCGCATCGTCAATACCTTTCTAACGATATATACATATGTATACGCATATATGATTTATACTTTATTTTAATACGTAAGTATGATATTATAAATTATAACTCGTTCATATGAACTCTAGTTTTGACGTTTTTTATATCCACACGTAGCTATCGATGAGATTTACAACTTTTGTTTAGACTCCGTCGGCTAATTTTGACTTTATTTTTTGTCCATATTTTTATAAAATTAAATGATTTTGCTATAATCATAACTCTCTCGTACGAACTCCGTTTTTTGCATTATTTTTCTCAAAATTCTTATTTTAAAGAGTACTACGATTTTCTTTTTGTTGGCTTCAGCTAAAAACCAACAGTTCTCTTCGTAGCTTTTTACGTCACACATTCCTTGTGCACGACTGTTATAAAAATCATATGTAACTTATACGAAGTCAGATT